AGGCCCTCTTGGGCCGTTTGGGGGCCTTCTTGGGGGGCCCCTTGGGCCGCCGTGGAGCGATCTTGGGGGCCTCTAGGGCCGTCAGGGAGCGTCGGGAAGCCGAAAAGGCGAGAAACAGCCTTCAAGCATCGGGTGCAAATCAAGGATTTCGGCCTCCAAGGGGGCCCTCTTGGGAGGCCTCTCGGAGGCCCCTTGGTGCGTCTTGGAGGCCTCTTGGGCCGCCCGAGCGCAGTCTTCGGCGCCCGGGAGCGGCCGCTCGGCGACTCGGGGCCCTCCTGGGCCGTCTCGGGGGCCTCTCGGGGCCCTCTCTTTGGCCCGTCTCTTGGAGCCTCCTCTTGGTGTCGCTCGGACGTGTGCACTTTTTCTCGCCGAGGGGTTCTTAAGCAAGGGCGCCCTCGAGGGCGCGAAGTTACTCGCGCTTCGCGCTTCGCGGTTCGGCTCCGATTCCTCCTCAGCCTCTTCTTCTCCCCTGGGAGGCGGCGCGAGAGCGCGAAGTTATTCGCGCTTCGCGCTTCGCGCAGCGCGAAGCGCGAAGTTTGGAGCCCTTGCTTAAGGAGCATCCTGGATCATCCTGCGAGGAAAAAAAAACGCACGACACCGAACACCAACACGGGGACCGGACGTCCGAGCGATGGCGAGTCCTTGGGCCAAGGGCTCCCTCGAGGGCGCGAAGTTATTCGCGCTTCGCGCTTCGCGGTCCTCGTTCCTTCTCCCCCTCCTCCTCGTCCTCCTCTTCTCCCTTTGGGAGGGCGGCGCGAGAGCGCGAAGTTATTCGCGCTTCGCGCTTCGCGCAGCGCGAAGCGCGAAGCTGGGAGCCCTTGTTGGGCCCGGATAAATGCACGCGCCGCCCCATGGGCAATGCCCAGGGGACATGCGGGGTGCCCCAGGAGATGTCAGGAGTTGGGGTCCGGGCCCCCAAACAATTCGTGACGCCAGCCCGTCCACAAACGATCCGCAGGGGAGTTTGGTACATCAGGGGCGGCTGGAAGCGTGCAGTGGCGCGGCCGTCTTCAGAAAGACAACGGGTCACACACAGCTTCCCGCATGGTGATGCTTGAGATTGGAATCGGTGCACGATACGACGTGGTGCTCCCCGTGGAAAGCGTCTCTAGCGCAGGTGGCTGTGTCCACCCTGGACCATGATAAACAAGGATCATCCATATCTTCCCGCAACGACGTTTAAGACGGAAGCCAGTGCAAGATACGCTGGGGTGTTCTCTGTGGTAAGCGTATCTGGCGCAGGTGATTGTTTCTATCATTCGTCGCCCTTGTCGCAATTTGAGAATCGCATCCCCTATATGCATCCTTGATCTCTGCCCCCGCACTGAAGTTTATCTTAAACTCGCGTGCGACTGCTGGTGATGGTGGTGGTGCTGGTGGTGGCGGTGGTGGTGATGCTGCTGGTGTTGCTGCTTGTGGTGCTCTGTTGCCCTCTTGGAGCCATCTTGTAGCAAGTGGTGATGGTGCTGGTGATGCCTGGGGCCATCTTGGGGGTGAGAGGAGGAGGAGGATGAGGAAGAGGAGGAGGAGGAGGAACAGAAAAGGAGGAAGGGAGGGAGGAGGAGGCGCAGGAGGAACGCGGCGCGAGGAGGATGACGAGGAGCAGGGAGGCGGCAGGAAAGAAGCAAGGAAGGAACGGACGATGACAAGGAGGACGAGAAGTCGGGCTTTGGGAATCTGTCGTGGTGAGGGGTTCTTCGAAGACTCGTAATGCCATTTGGGCGACATCTTGGGGTGCTCTTTGGGTCCTCTGGGGGCCTTCTTGGGAGGTTTTTTTTTGAAGGGTCTTGGAGCCATCTTGGGGCTCTTTGGGGTGGTCTGGGAGGCCTCTTGAGACGTCTTGGAACCCCTCGCTCAGAAAGAGGGGTGTCTTAAATTGACGCCCCCCCCATCGGAGGCTCACAATGGGCGTCTTGGGGCCCTCTTGGACCGCTCTTGGGACGCTCTTGGGCGCTCTTGGGGCCCTCTTGGGCTTCTCCTGGGACTATCTTGGGGCCATCTTGACGCCTCAAGAGCCCATCGGAAGCCAAAAAGCGAAAAGGCAACACATTGATGTTCCTCAGGTTTTGAACCCATTTTTGCCTCTTGGAAGGGGTCCTTGGAGGGCTCGGAGGGCACTTGAAACCTTTTGGGGGCCGTCTTGAGGCCTCTTGGATGCGTGTCGGAGGCTATCGTGAGCCGTCTTGAGGTATCTTGGGCGATGGAGGCCATCTTGGGCTCTCTAAAACCCTCTTGGATCTATCTTGGGTCATCTTGGACGCTCTAACCCCTCGCGGGGGAGCCCGTCCAGACCCAGGGAGGGAGAGGGGAGGTGAACCTCCCGAGCATTGAAAGGGCGGAGGCTGGGAAAAGGAAACGCTCTAGACCACCTGCGCTCAGAGGGCTGGTGGGATTCTCCAGGAGCGAGAAATGACGCTTTGACGATTCGGCCCGGGACCTGAAGACACACCCATTCCGTGCCCAGCGGCGCGGTGGCGGATGCATGGCCGTGCTCTGGAGGCCTTGGAGCTAATTTGTCGTTTGTGACCGTGTCGAAGCAGTAGTTTGGACATGATCTTGTTTCTTGGGCGTTTTTTGGCCTTTCTGAAGCTTCAGGGCCTCTTGCGAGCACTGCAGCCGCGTAGGCAGGCCTCCTGGCTGTCTGGAAGAAGCTTGGAGCTCGTCGTGAGACGTCACCAACCAGTGTTGCACCGTCTTGGCGCCGTCTTGGAGTGGAATGGGCCATTGTGGGACTGTTTTGAAGCCCTCCAGGGGGCAGTCCATGGGCCGCCCTGGGCTCCTAGGTTCCAGCCCACGCCAGGAAGCAGGGAGAGCTGGACATGTTCCATGAACCTACGACACGCGCAGTAATATTCCGATTTCTCGAGCGCGTGGTTCAACGATTCGCGAAAATGACCGCTACTTGGCACGCCCCCCTCCCTCTCCATGGCTCAGGAGACGGGGGTCAGTGCAAACTGGGGTCAGTCAGAACGCCGGATCTTGCAGGATCCTGCAGGGCAAGGGCTGTACGGACCTGGGTTTGGGTGCAGGACCCTGCAGGAGTCTGCAGGATCCTGCAGGATCTTGCAAGACCTGGCTACGTTTCTTGACACGGGCGTCCTGGACTTTGACGGTCCAGTGTTCGTGGGATGTTTGCAGCGGGAGCTCGCGTCAAATTTCAGGTTGGGTCTCGTCATTAACATGGATGGCCTTGTCAGGACAACCCGAGTCCCCCGAATCCGACTTTGGGGGGGCTTGTGCTCAGGGTAGGCTGCAGCACCGCTCCACGATGTGCTGTGAACCAACCCTGCAGGGTGGGCCCTTTCCATTTTTCAGTGCGCTTCAGCTTTGGCTTCAGCTTCAGCTGTGGATGCGCCGTGGAGCGCCTTCGGGCCAGCTCACTCGAGTCGGCTTTCCGCTCAGATGGGCAACGTCCGCGGCGACGCCGTGAGCGAGACTTGGGCACCGTTGGCAACAGCTGCTGTCGGTCTTCTACCCCTTCCGCAAGTTGTCCCGGGGCATGAGCGGGGACTCCAGGACCCCTGTAGTATGTCGGGGCCCCCAAAGAGGGTGGTGACCACACCGTGCGGTGAGTCGGTGGGGATTCGGGGTCACCGCACGGTTTTGAGACTCGGGTCGTTCTCCGAGGACGTCTCGGGCGACAGGGGCCTCCAGGGTCCCAAGACCGTGCGGTGACGGACTGTGCGGTGAGGTCTTGCGGGATTTCGAGGTCACCGCACGGTCCGTCACCGCACCGTTCCGGGACTCCTATAGGGTCGAGTTCGAGGGAGTCATGCCGCGGCATGGCGAGAGGCACGGCGCCGGAGTTCGGGGCTGGTCTCCGAGGGTCTCCTGAGCTTCCCCCAGGCCCCCCTCGGAGGAGGCCTCGGCAGGAAGCCAGATGCTCAGCAAGGAATAGGTCGGGCGGGTGGTAGCCAGGGATGACCTGAATTGGGGGGTGAAGAGAATGGCCCATAGAGGGGCCCTGCAGGGCCCCTCTAGGGCCCTTGCTTGCTCCACAAGGGGCACGAGAGCGCCCGTGTAGGGCCCTTCTCTTCACCCCCCATGTGGGTCAGACCTCCATTCGCACCCGCCCGAAAGGGGGGAGAACACGCCAGAGACGCGCAACCGTATCGATGGGACCAGCGTCGACCAGGTACGTCCAAGCATCCAGATCAACTCTCCCAGATCCTTCGGTCCTCCCTCGACGGCCAGGAGGGGGGCGGTCATCAAGAGGCATCTGGAGGCTCTCAGAGATTCCGAAGTGGCCAGAACATTTAAATGACCTCGAGCCTCGAGCCTTGACGCTCCTTCTCGAACGGGAGGTGTTCGCCAGCACTGCAGTGAGAACCCCCCTGCGACCAGGAAGGAGTGTAGTGGTCCGAGGCTCACGATGTCCCAACTTATTTTAGCTTGGATCACCAGAACGATTTTCGAGCACCAGAAACTACCTAAACTGGAGGGTTTTCACACGTTGGGCCCTGGGGGGCGATACTCGTTCGACACTGTTTCGATACTTGTCTGGATGCTCGATTTTTCGGCCCTTACTTACGATGGGAACCACATAATCTGAGGCATGGATTTATCCACGCCCGCCGCTTCGGGAGGCCCAGAGGTCGCCGTATGAAAACCAGGTCCCAATAAACCCAGTCCTGCCAACGACCGAAACGATTGCCACCCAACATAATAGAAGCATAATCTCCGAGGACGACGGCCACGGCGGTCACGACGGTGGCAGAGTTTGTCTAGGCTTCCTAGATGGATTCGGAGTAGATGGGGTCGGAGGATCGCGCCGCATCGCCGATGCATCGCCGATGCGGCTCGGTGTGGGGCCCGATTTGCCTCACGCCGACGTCGCCGATGCGTCGCCGACGTCGAGGATGCGTCGCCGGTGCACCCCCGATGCATCAGCCGATGCGTCGGCGGTGCGGCGCGATCCTCCGACCCCATGTGCTCCGACCCCATCGAGGAGGCCTCGAGTTTGGTGAGCCCCTGCCTCGGTCGGAGCCGTCGGTGGGGAGGTGGCCGCCGGCGCCGTGGTGAACCCCGCGAAGGGGAGCCAGCCGACGAGGCGCTCGTGGCGGAGCCCGCTGCAGCACGTGACGCAGGCTGCCGCCTGCCCTCGGCGGCCTCCAGCGGCCATCGTCAGTAACCCTCCTCCTCCTCCTCCTTCTCCTCCTCCTCCTCCCCCTCCTCCTCCTCCTCCTGCTCCTGCTTCTCCTCCTGCTCCTCCTTCGCCCCAGCAGGAGGAGGAGCAGGAGCAGGAGCAGGAGCAGGATGATGGGGAGGGCCGTGCGGAGGCGCGCTGCAGCCTCGGGGGGCCGCTCCCGTCCTGCAAGTGGCCGTCTTCTCTTGTGCCCTTCACCACCCACCAAACCACCCCAACCCAACCCGAAGACCTCAAATTGACCTCCATTTCCACTGGGGGGGGGGGGTCGGGGAACATCGAGAAAGCACATATGGAAGCCGTACCCCCCCCCCAACCCGAAATTCGGGTCTTCGGGTTGGGTTGGGGTGGTCTGGTAGGTAGTCGGCTCTGGGGCGGGTTCGACGCGGAATCGGCGCGGATGCGACGCGGAGTCGGCACGGATTCGGTACGGACTCGACGCGTTCCACGTGAGTTTGACGCAGATGTGACACCGAAGTCTGGCTCGACGGGACAGACCAGGCCCCCACATGATGCAACACAACGTCACGGGGGAACGTTAGGGCGGGGTGGTCGCCATGATGTGCCTGGCGGCGCCAGAACGGCCTCTTCGGCGAGAGTGAGGCAGGTCGAGGGAGGAGGAGGAGGAGGAGGAGGAGGAGGAGGAGGGAAGAGGAGGGAAGAGGAGGGAGGAGGAGGAGGAGGGAGATGGGGAGGAGGAGGAGGAGGAGGAGGAGGAGGAGGAGGAGGAGGAGGAGGAGGAGGAGGAGTGAGGAGGATCATAGGCAACGTTAGGGGCTCGAGGTTCGAGGTCTTGGGACGTTCTCGCGGGCTCTCGGCGGCTTTCCGGCCTCGGGGTGTGCCCGCAAGCGGGCGCGCCTCGCCGAGCGCCCCCGGGGGGTTGCCCGGATCGCCCCGCACGGCCGCTGGAGATGGGTATCGTTTAACCCATCCCCATCCCCATCCCCTTCGAGACCCCCACCAAATTGCTCGCCTCGGCGTCGCCGCCCGCCCCGCGCCGTCGTCCGTCGGGTCCTTGGTCGGCCGTCGTCCGCCGTCCATCGTTTTCTTGTCCTCTTGTCGTCGTCGTTGTCGGAGTCTTAAATATCAATATATATATAACATACATGTATAAGTGTGAGAGAGAAGGATAGTAAACGGCCGGCCGTTGAAATTTGCATATTGGGGCTCCCAGTTTCCGATCTGCTGTCCCTCTTCCCTCCTCTTGAAAAGGCGGGCGGAAACCCAATGTATGTCCAACGCATGTTTCTACCTCATGGTTCGACCCACTCTTTCTGGCCGACGGGTACATGCATGTACACATATGGTTTAGCTTGTTATGATGTCAGAGGTTTATATGTTATAACATATTTCGTGTTTGATGTCAGAATATACGATTGGTTGATTCGGCGTGCTTTTAATTGCATGGCACCAGTTCGTGTTACATGGTGCTGCAGTAAAGTGCAACATGCTATGCTAGAACAGGAAATCATGTACACAATATGTTTAAGTTTCTATGCCAAACTACACGCTATCATTATATGTTCGAATATGGTGTTGATATCCCCCGCATTAGATATCATATGTAAGCTTATGGCGCCTTCTACTATATCCTAGCATAGTGGACTATACGGTATGCAAGCATATCGTATCGTGTTACAGGATGCCGTGTTTCTAATGTATCGTACATCTCATGGTGTAGCACATAGGATATTCAAATCTAAGCCATGTATATTGTTGCAGCCTGCATACTGTTCTGTTATATAGTGCGTACCACCTTATAGTTTGGTATGATAAGTTTTCTTGTATTGGCCATGATATCTTATCAGTGAAGAGTCCGCTAGCATGCATTATACTGCTTGTTATGGCAGATCCGATACTTGTTCAACACAGTATACTAAACATACGTGTATACATAGACATATCAATGTTAAGCAGACTGTGCTGACGCTTCGCGCCATGTAGCTTGATTATTGAAGTTTGGCATGCATGCGGAAGGGCAAGTGGGTAGCGCAAACACTTTTGCGATAACGCCTTGTTGTTGTGCCGGCATCGCCATTGTGTATATATGAATATCAACTAATACTAATTATGTTGTTCTTTATATTTCCCTCATGTTTCTCTTCCCCTCTTCCCCCTCCCCTGTCTCGCCCAGCCCTGCCAATTCTTCCCACTCCTCCTGAGTTCTTTTTTCGGAGGCTCCTCCTTGGAGAGCCTTTTGTGGGCAAGGCCTCCGGGGCGCCTGCTTGGGGCCTCTGGGGGATTCCTCGAGCAATCCTGCTTCCAACCGCGGTCTCCCTGAACGACGGGGTCACGATTTGGAATGTTTCGGGGGGCGTGTTAGGGCGAATTTGGGCCGTCTGTGGTTCGCTTCCGGCCATCTCGGAACCCTGTTGTGCCGTCTTGGGGTTCTTCTGGGCTGCTTGTAAGCCCTTTCGGATAGCTTTGGGCGATTTCTGGGCCTCCTGCGCGGTCTCGGAAGCCCCGAAGACCAGAAGAACAGAGTATTCCCTAAATCATGCAACAACCATTGAACATCAATATTTTGTCTTGCGTTTGAGACTTACCGATTTGGGCCTGGTGCCTAGGCCCAGCAGGGGGTTCGGGAGCTTCGGAAAGCATGGGAAGCCTCCTTCAGGGGCACCCAAGGGGCCCCCAGGGCCACGGATCCGGGGGTCCACAATTATGGGGTGGGTTGGGGGGGTGGAGGGTTTTCCCCCCTTCGGATTCGTAAATTTGCGAGGATGAGGAATAGAGAGAGAGAGAAAGAGAAAGAAAAAGATAGAGAGAGAGAGGAGGAGGAGTGAGTGGAGCAGTGAGGAGGATGAGGAGAAGGAGGAGGAGGAGGAGAAAAAGGGGAGGAGGAGGAGGAGAAAAAGGGGAGGAGGAGGAGGAGGAGGAGGAGGAGGAGGAGGACGGGAGCAGGAGAAGGAAGAGGAGGAGGAGGAGGAGGAGGAGATTGAGGAGGAGGAGGAGGGGAGGAGGAGGAGGAGGAGGAGTGATGATGATGATGTTGATGATGGTGATGATGCTGATGATGCTGATGATGATGATGATGCTGATGCTGATGCTGATGATGGAGGTGGTGGTGATGATGATGATGGTGATGATGATGATTGCTGATGATGATGGTGATGATGATGATGGTGGTGATGATGATGATGATGATGATGATGATGATGCTGATGCTGATGCTGATGCTGATGCTGATGCTGATGCTGATGCTGATGCTGATGCTGCTGCTGCTGATGATGATGATGATGCTGATGCTGATGCTGATGCTGATGCTGATGCTGATGCTGATGCTGATGATGATGATGCTGATGATGCTGATGAGGTTGAGGTTGAGGATGAGGATGAGGATGAGGATGAGGATGAGGATGAGGATGAGGATTAGGAGGAGGAGGAGGAGGAGGAGGAGGACGAGGAGCCAGGAGGCGGAGGAGAGAGGAGGGAGGAGTGAGGAGTGATGAGGAGGGAGGAGAGAAGAGGAGGAGGAGGTGGAGGAGGAGGAGGAGGAGGAGGAGGAGGGAGGAGAGGAGGGAGGGAGGAGGAGGAGGAGGAGGAGGAGGAGGAGGAGGAGGAGAGGAGAGGAGGAGAGGGGAGGAGGGAGGAGGAGAGGAGGAGGAGGAGGAGGCCAGGAGGGGAGGAGGAGGAGGAGGCGGAGGAGGAGGAGGAGGAGGAGGAGTGCGGAGTAAGGAGGGAGGAGTAAGGAGGAGGAGGAGGAGGAGGAGGAGGAGGAGGAGCCAGGAGGGAGCCTCAGGCCCCCGCCTGCCAAGCGGTGGTCTGCGTGGACATGCTCGGGCAGCCGCCTGCGGGCGGCGAAGGCGGCGGCACCCGCGGGGAGGGCGGCCGGCCGCCTCCCGCGGGGAGGGCTCGCGGACGGCAGGCGGTTTCGGGCCGGCGGCAGCGCAGAGCGCAGAGCGCAGAACGTCCGATCGAGCGCCCGAAGATCGGGCCGGAGGAAAGGGGGGGATTGGGAACGGGGGGGGTCCGAAATCTGCTGCATGCAGCTGGTTTCGGCCCCGCCGCCGGGCCCATTCCTCGATACATGGGCGCCTTCCGGCGCCGGGAGGCGCCGGGAAAATCAGCTACGTGAGCTGATTCTCAACCCCCCCGCAGGGGCGGGTCCGCGGGCGGACACCCATGGGTCAAGCAGTGGCGAAGCGTCCCGGCTCGCTTATAGCCCCACCAAAGAATGTTCTAAGAACCTTTTGTGGTTCCCAGGAAATGTTCTCAGAGCATTTCTGGCGGAGCCTGTCTTGGTTCAGCACATCGGGTTCATGTTCTAAGAACATTGTTTTTCGTTCTTAGAACATTTCTGGGTTCTGAGAACATTTCGTGGTAGGACTATCTGAATGCCGGGACGGTCGGTCCCTGCTCAAATGGGGCTGCAGCGAATGGTCGGTGATCAAGAGGTCATCAGGGGCAACGATAGGGGGGGATAGGCAAAGGGGGGGTGATGCAGGACAAAGTTGGGGGGGGGAATATGCACAGGGGGGGACGCATCGACCCCCAATCGCCCATTGATCGCCGATAGGGGCCCGATAGCCCCAACCCTCCCAGGAAGGTGCGGATTCACTATCGGGGGCCTATCGCCGATCTATCGGCGATGTATCGCCGATTCCATGTCGATGCATCCCCCCCTACGCCAGTGCCCCCTTATCGTTGCCCCTCAGGCCAGGGGGGGCCATGATGCTTGGTTCGCCTTGAAAGCGGTCTGGGCGTTTTTTTGGCTTTTTCTATCCGGGGCCCCTGAGAGGGTTATAACGCCAAAAAACAAAGCATCCTTGTTGTAGCGCTTTTAGTTTTCTCTTGAGACCTGGAAGCGCTAAACAACGATTTCCAAGACGCCGAGTTGAAAACGCAAACAAAAAACGCCCCGGGCATATTTTAGGCGAGCCAAGCCATCAGGGGGGTGATGATTACGGGTGTGTGTGTGTGGATACCATGGCGGGGGCCATGATATCTCCCCAGATTTCACGGCGCCGCTTCTTACTTCACAACACGTCCCCGCCCCTCCTCCAGGCCGCGCACATGCCGCCGGTCATGATTTGCGTTCCCTCCCCTTAGACGCCCCCGAGAGGCGGGGGTGAGTGCAAACGGGGATCAGCCAGAGCGCAGGATCTTGCAGGATCCTGCAGAGCCAGGGTCGCACTGACCCAGGCTCGGCCCTGCAGGATCCCGCAGGAGCCTGCCAAAGCTGCCTGACCAATGTCCGGATCGACCCGGGCCAGTAGATCCCCGATGGAGTGCATGGGTTCCAGTACACTGGCGATGTGGCGCAGTCCAGAGCTCAACGTTCTCCGCCCGGACGTCGCCGACGCGTCGGCGACGCCGTGCAGTCCCCTCCGTCTGTGGGCCCGGCGAGCGAGGGGGAGGGATTCGGCTCGGGCGTCGCGTAGGGGGGGTGTCCCGGGTGCCATGCTGGGGGTGGGCAGGTGGAATCTTTCTTTATGATGAATTTCACTTAAGGCAAGGGTGGGCCGGCGGAGTTGTTTTTCGGTTTGTTGTCTTGTTCTGGGGATGTCCCGAGCACAACGCTCAGTTCACATGCGTGATGGAGGATGTCTCGAGCGAAACGCTCGTCTTGCAGAGTCGGGGGACGATCGAGCGAAACACTTGTTTTCTTGTGTCCAGGTCGCCCAGGGAGGTGTCTAACATGAGAATGTGTTGAGGATGTCTCGAGCGAGACGCTTGTTCTCACGTTTCCAGGTCGCCCAGGCGGATGTCTGGCATCAGGATGTGGTGAGGAAGTCTCGAGCGAAACGCTTGTTTTCACGTGCCCAGGTCGCCCAGGCGGATGTGTAACACGAGGCTGCGTAGAGGATGTCTCGGGCGATACGCTTGTTCTCACGTGTCCAGATCACCCAGACGGATGTCTAGCATGAGGATCTGTTGAGAATGTCTTGAGGGAAGCGCTTGCTTTCACGTGCCCAGGTCGCCCAGGCGGATGCCTAACATGAAGATGCATTCAGGACTTCTCGAGCGAGATGCTTGTTTTCGGGTGTCCAGGTCGCCCAGCGGATGTCTAGCATGAGGATGTGTAAGGGATGTCTCTAGCGGAGCGCTTGTTTTCTCGTGACCAGGTCGCCCAGGCGGATGTCTAACATGAAGATGTATTCAGGATGCCTCGAGCGAACCGTTGTGTTTCACGTGTCCAGGTCGCTCAGGCGGATGTCTAACATGAGGATGGGTTGAGAATGTCTCTAGCGAAACGCTTGTGTTCACGTGTTCAGATCGCTCAGGCGTATGTTTAGCATCTGGATTTCTTGAGGATGTTTCGAGCGAAACGCCTGCCGCAGTAGAGAGCGTCGAAGTCCAACCCCACCCCTCCGATGTGCGTCCCCTGGCGCGCTGGCGCGTCCCCTGTGAGGCTGTCTCGTGCGCGTGATTGCACGGCGTGCGCGTTGCAAAGCGTGGCCCGTTGTTGGCCCATTTGCCGCGATGTCCGCTCGAAGTGATGTTGAATAGTCGTTTCTACGGCGCTTCGTTTGCGACGTTCTGGTGTGACTTGCCTTGGCACGTCCCCTCGCACGCTCCTCGACATGGCACATTCCTTGGCTCGTCCTCTGTCGCGTTTCCTGGCTGGTCCTCGGGCGTTTCCCCTGCCCGTGGCGCGCCCCTGACCATGTCCCCTGGCATGACGTGCTGAGGTCCGTCCCATGGCACGCGCCTTGGCACGTCCCGCGGCAGGTGCCTGACACGTCCAGGGCACGTCCTGCAATACGTCCCCTGACACGTCCCCTGGCACATCCTGTGGCGCGTTCGTGACCCTGTGCCCCGTGTCGTGTCGTCCCTTTTCGGAGCTGAGTCGGGTTTGGAGCTCGACCTGAGTGAGCGTCCCGCACGTTTCGACTTCAGCTATCTCTGGGCGAGCTATGGTGTGCTCAGGCAGCTCGAGCTTAAGATCCAGATCAGTTCGGTCAGGGCTCGGATGCTAAGGAGGACTCGATCCACAACGCTATAGAGCACAATCGCGGGATGGCACATCGCAAGTCAGCACGGCACAGCACAGTACAGCCCTTGGCACCGTACATCAAGATCGATACTTTCAGCATTGCATGTGCTGGTCGCCCAATCGGGTGTCTTGAAAACGTTGCCATGCTTCACATTTGCTTTTTTCGGGTTCGTGGGTCGAGCATGTTCTTGGTATGTTTCTTGTTTTCTTACTCAAGTGGCTGACGCCATTCCGCCGACCCCCAGAAGAGGCGAGGAGTCCACGGTTGAGGCATCGCGGGTTGCTTGAGCACTATTTCGACGCTGCTGCGGGCGTTTTGGGAGCTGTTTGGGGGCCTGGCGGAGCAGTTTTGAAGTATTTTGGGGCAGTTTTGGAGCTCCTTTGGGGTCTCTTGGGGGCCTCTTTGGGATCTTGGGGGGTGGGGGGGTCTTTGGGATCTTGGGGGCCTCGTGGGGCCTTATGGGCCCCTGGGTGGGGGGGGAAAGATCAGATGTTCGGTTCGTGTTCTCCCTCTTTGCCTCTCTTGGGGCCCTGTTGGGGCGATCTTTGGCCATCGTGGACCCCTGTTTTGGCCGTCTTGGAGCCCTCTTGGGCCGTCCTGGCGCCCTCAAAGGGACCGCTTAGGCAGTTTTGGGGCTGTCTACGGGGCCTCTTGTGCTGGGGAACCCATCGAGTTTTGCCGCTCGGGGCCGGTGCGTCTCGAAGGCGTCTTGGAGCCATCGCAAGCATCTTGGGCCAATCGCTCCGCGATTCGGGACCGTCTTGGAACGTCTTCGACGCCACAGAGGGCAGATGTTTGGAAGCTCCAGGGTCTCTTGGGGTCGTGCCCCGGCGAGCCCAGGCCCCCCCCTTCCCCCTTGAACGAGATGTTGGACCCTGGCGGAGGGGGAAAGGAGGAGGGGGACAGCCGATCATCTCATTCAAGCAGTGGCGAAGCGTCCTAGCTCGCCTATAGGCCGACCAAAGAATGTTCTACGAACCATATGTGGTCTGCAAGAAGTGTGTTTTGAACCTTTCTGGCGGGGACTTCCTTGTTTAAACGCATCGGGTTTAGGTTCTAAGAACATTGCTTTTGTTCTTAGAACACGTTTGTGTTCTAGGAACACGTCTTGGTAGGCCTGCAGGAATGCCGGCACGGTCGGTCCCTGCTCAATTCACGCGCTCTCTCCACACCGGCAAGCGGGGGTCGTCGGATGTCCGTGTGCGTGCGTGTGTCGACTTCCGATGTCGGGGGCGCATTTCGCAAACGTCTCAGGATTCTCCTGGTGGGGGCCCAAAGAATATACACCACCACCACGTCGATTCCTCCTCTCCCCTCTGTCCAGCGAAAGGGAGGGGGGGAGGGAGGTGGTGGTGGTGTATATTTTTTGGCCCCCATCGAGTCGTCGGGAGAGTAGGAGCGAAAAGGGTCGCAGTGAGCGAAAACTCGAGAGGGAGGAGTCGGAGTGAGCGAAAAGCCGAGTCGTCGGAGGAGCAGGGTTTTGCGATCCCCTGTCCTCGAGCCCTCCTAACTCGTCAGGCGCTGCGGGTCGGCCCTGGGGGCCCCGGGGGGATGACCCGGACGCCCAAGCGGGGAAGCGAAGGTTGAGTCTCCTCCGCCTCCTCCTCCTCCTCCTCCTCCTCCTCCTCCTCCTCCTCCTCCTCCTCCTCCTCCTCTTCCTCTTCCTCTTCCTCTTCTCCTCCGCCTCCTTCTCCTCCTCCTGGGTTGTTTTGAGACCGAGCTGGAAGAGGGGACGACATTGCGCCCCGTCGGAGGACAAGGCGCGCACACGGGCTGGCGCGATCACTCGCGCGCTCAACTCAGGAAGACTCGAGCCGGGTGCGGCGTCGAAGCTGGCCGGGGCGCTATCCTGGGCCAGTCAGCCG